GGTAGAAAAAAAGGWAATTTCTACATAAATACAGATGAGGGAAAATAATCTTCCCTCTTTATATGGAAATAGGAGTTGCATTTTTTAGTTTATAAAGCATATAGGCTGAAGATTGTGAATATCAGTCTCTAGTTACTCTCTAAGTACTGGTAAAACTGTGTTTGCATCACTTCTGATGGAGTCTGCTTGTTCCCATTATTTTTTCTAGGGACAAATTAGCATGTTCCAACATGTTTTTTTTTCTGTAGAAACTTCTGCTTTGGTTTATTTTTTTTTTGATTTCCAATACACTGTGGGCATTCTTACAGAGTAACTGCTTTTATTGTTCTTATAGAATAATACCAGCTTTGGGATTTTCATCTGTTTTTTAGGCTAAAATTGTGCTGAATTAATACTCTGCCCATAAGGGAGGCAGAGTACTTTAGGCTTGTGTATAAACATTCTAAGTTCTCTTCAGATAGCAAAATGTTGAGGAATATATAGTATTTCACTGGGTCACTCGTAATTTTTTTCTAAATTATCTACTGCTTCATAAGAATGAAGCTAGATATTTCCTTTAAAAAAATGCTGTTGCTTCAAATATGCTCTACTAGGCTGTGTGATTTAGCCATAGATAAATCTCTCTAAGATGTATTTCTTTCCATTTAAGAGAAGTGCTATATTTAAAAGCAAAACAAACAAAAAAAGCACTGACAGTCTTGTGGAAAGCATTTGCTATCTTGAAATCATAATTTCTTTATTCTTTTTGCACCAAATTATTTTTGCATGCTGATTTATGGTAGTAATTTCAGTGACATGTCTTTGATGTCAGTAGAGGCCGTGCTTCACTTACGTGGTTGCAGATTTTGGACAGATACTCGTAATATTTTAATTTAGACTTGCAGCAAGCTTGTGGGATAGGTAAGTTTTATCTTGCCTTTGCTTTTAAAGATTAAGTAGTGCCAGGGCTTGTAATTAGGCCCTGGAATTAAATAATTAAATAACTTCAGTTGTTAAGACAGTCCCAAGCAGCCTTCTCCTAAACAAATTCTGGGCTTATGAATGAAAGAAATTGAGGTTCAAGGGCTTTTAAAGTCTTAATTCTCCTTAATTTCCTCARTCTGGGTAAGAAGGCACTGCAGGCACAAAGCTAATCAAGAATGCTTCATTTGATTGGTTTTTCAATGGCAGAGGCTCCTTTTAGAAAACTGAGATTTCCTACATGACAATTTCCTGTTTGTGGGAAAGAAAAATAGAACCCTTTTCTTTTTTAATCCACATCATCAAAATGGTCTCTCCCAAGCAGGTGCCTCCCTGCAAAAAAATCTTAAACTGTTTGTTGTTGTTGTTATTGATGAATTCCCTAACACATAAACACATTTATGTTTGTGTTTCTGAAATGCCTTCTATTTGTGTGTTCTGGTTCCCTTGAGGGACTTGATTGATGTCCAAGCCTTGCAGCAGAGCCTGTGCACGTTCCCTTCAGATACCTGCGTGCGCTTCTTCTAGCCCCTCTGCGTCTCCGTTTCCAATAGCTGCTTCAGCAGAAGATCCGTTGGAAGGAGAGGAGGGACAACTGCTCTTTTCTGCTCTTTTCTACGAGCTGCCACGATCCCCCCGGTTCCCTCCTGCTCCGAGACCCTTTTGTGCCTGCACAATGCCGATTACTTCAGGAAACTTCTTTGTGAAGGATGGCCCCAGAGAGATGATTAAATTGGCATTTTACTCTCTGGCATGCCTTTGCACAGGGGAAGTGGGATGGCGGTTGGGTATTTCAATCTTGTATTCAATTATAAGCATTTCATTGTCGAATGTGCTGGTTTATTATGTGATAATTAAATATGAATGATCACACAGTCCTCCTGCCAAAGAGAGGCTGTAGCTTAACGCAACCAATTCCTCTCATCCTCCTGAATGACTTCAAAGTCAAAAGGAGTGATCTATTTGCTACCTCTTTTTTTTTATTTTTTCCCTTGTCCTATTGTTTCGGTGTCTCCAGCTTCAAAACAGCAAACCAGGCAGGTAATTATGGACATAAATCAGCACGAGGATCAATGGGAGGTCAGGATTGCTCTGCTTTGAGCCTGGCGTTACTGAGCTGTCTCTCTGAATAATGGAGAAGTACATTGCTGTTAATTTTGTGGAGATTCAGCAAAACAGCAGCTGAAGTGGAATGAGGAAGAAAGGCAGCCACCACGGAAGCCAAAACAGGCTTTTCTTTGTCAAGGCTCCTGACGAAAAAATGAGAGTGGCTTCAGGATTTCGCACCAATATGGGAGTATTTCTGAGTCATGCAATAGGCCCTTTTTGGAGGACTGTTTATACTCATCTCCTGCCTCTGCTGGAAATCCTTTCTCAGACCTACTGACTGCTGAAGCCGGGGCACCTTTTTGCAAAGACTGCTTCCTAAATTGTGATTTTCAGCCTTTGTGTGCATTTTCACATGTGCTTCTTTGTTGTGCWTCTTTGTTGATCCAAAGTTGTCAGTCTTGTCCCAGGTTTTCATCAGGAAGAGCCAGGTTGCCTTGCTGGACATGATGAAAGCCTTGTCCAGCAGTGCACGGCTGCACCATCCCTGTCTGGACACCAGGATTGCCCCACRGAGCCACACAGGGGAATCCCAACTCTTACTAGAACTAAAGGCCCATAATTTGCATGAAGCTTCCRTGAAACCCATACTTTTTGAAAGCTTCAGAATAAGACTATAAAAAAAAAATCTTAGTGATGAAATGCCATATAGCCATTATGTTGACCAAGTTTTTATCCCAACTTGCTTTTTAGCAGGGATTTGAGCAGCCACAAGGTGCTGATGCCTGGAATGTGTGTTCCCCTGCCTGCCTGCCCATCTGTTTGCAGGATACCTGGCCAAGTTGGGTAAAGTTACGACGTCTCTTTTTGCATTACGTTCCTGGAGGAGCACCTTTGGAGTGGTGACCTGATTAAAGCAGTCATCACGTCGATGTTGTTTGGTTCCTGAGACACTTTTCCGAATGCCCATGGTGTTCCCAGTGTGGAAATGGCTATTCCACAGTCTCAGCATGACTGACTTATGGAGTGTCTTATTTTGTCCTTCCTGTACTGTATTTGCCAGCTCTACAGGATAACTGTTTTGTGCACAGACTCGACAGATCAAAAATAAAGGCAGGTCCTGCTGCTTTCAAGCTGAGCGATACCTTCTTCCTTCTGCAGCCCCTTGAATGCAAAGGGAGCGTGCTTGCTCCTGAGCCTCCTTGGGCTGCCTAGAGATGGGCACAGGCTGGTAGGGGGTAAATATGGAGCCGTGTCCCCTGCTTGCTGCTTCCTAACAGGTTCTCCTTGAGAAGCAGAGGCAGAGCATCCTGTTGTGCAGAGCTCTGGGCTGGCTGCGAAACGTTATCTTCTTTGTACATTACAGCCCCATCTCTGTGCACTGGCTAGTTGAAGCACTTGGAAAAGGCCCCTATTTGGAAGTCCCTATGCCATCTAGGAGCCTGTGTATCCTCAAACATCAATGAGGTTTATATTCCTCTCTGACACAGGGGCCACTGAAAATTTTAACCCCTATCTTTTAAGTTTTCTGCAGATGGGTGCTCCTCAGCTCCCTTCTTGTGCTGGACACAATATCCCAGGTCCCGCGAAGGCTTTGCGGGAAGGAGGTCCCCTCAGGTCTTCAAAACCTCAGGGCTGCAGCAACCTGCTGTAGTGCTTAGTCATTYTCATGGTGATTTTTTTGTACTTGTTGGCCAGTGCTCACTGCAGCCACTGATSGGCACCCAGCAGTGACCCGGGCCCACCATGTGCTCACATGGGCCACTGCCACCAGCTCTGGAGGTGCATGGAGCTCAGCTGCAGGCACCAAGCGGCCCCAAAGTGCCTGAATCTGCCTTAAAAATGAGGCAAGCAAAATTATAACCTCAGATACTTCGCTGCAGTGAATCAGCAAAGCAAATGTGTTTCACTCGAGCCGTGCTGATTTATGGCCCTAGCCCTTAATCTGTACATCTTATTCTTACAGGGTGTTTATAAGCACGAAGCAGCACTCGGTAGAAGTCAACTGCTGAAAAATGGATGTAATCACATGTTACAATCTTTAGATGATACTAGCTAAAAAAGTCAATCTTCTGTGAACGAGAGCAGAAATTGAGCATTGCTCACTCCATATCCTGCCCAGGAGGACCAGTTTTGGACAGAAATGAGTAGGTCTAAGGTAGTGGTGAAGGAGCTCTTRTTTTTTTGCACTCCTAAGCCCTTGTGCTTCTAGAGCTGTGGCATCTGAGGAGTGCGAAGGATTTGATGAATTTACAGTATTAGGATACAAGTAGGGCCCCACAGCTGCCACCACCTAGCACGGGTGATGTGGGTGTCCCAAAGCCGTGGTTATGTGGGATGGGCTGCTGGATATAGCAGGAAAGAGAGGCTGGCAGGTATTACTCTTCCCCTCTCCCCCAGCTGTCTGTAGTCTTAAATGAACTAAGAARCAATTCTTGATGGTAGTTCTATTACTTGTGAACATACAGTTTTGCAAAAACAAACAAGCAAACAACAAAAAAAAGCATCTGATAATCTATATGCTGCTTTCCAAAACTGCTTTTCTTTTAGCTTATCCATACTCTGTAAAGCAGATGCAGCCTCCCGGCTTCACTTGGTGTAGACAAGTGAATAATAGCAAATTTAATCATACCAAGTCTTTAAAAAACAACCAGTGATTTTAGATGCCTCCGTTTTTGACTGCTGAACTCCCACATCTTTAATCAGACTTTTTGAAAGTGCTTTGAAGGTGCATGCCAAAGCTGAGTTTACGGTGTACATAAAATTTAACCCATGCTTGTTTCTTTATTTCAGCTTGCCATTCTGTAAGTATTTCTTGAGATTTTCTTTTTTTCTGGCAGTAAATTTTTGTTAGGTACATGACTGAGGAAATGTAATACCCCACTACATGTGTTTCTAGGTGAATTATAGTGCTTTCAGTGGTTTTATTGGTCAGATATTAAATGAAATCGAACAATCAAATTTAATCAAAACAATTTTTTTCTTATTCTCAGACTATTGTTAGAGGAAATAAACCACGAAAGGATACTTCAATCAATGGCCTGCTAGAAGAATTTGACAATATTTCAGTGACACGATCCAATTCCCTACGGAAGGAGAGTCCTCCYGCCCACCACCAAGAAAACTCAAACCACGTGCCAAGGCACCAAGAAGAGAATGGTTATATCACCTATTCTCAGTACTCCAGCGAGTCAGATACTACTACAGACTATGTCGTGGAAAAATACAGAGACAAGAGTCTTTATGGGGAAGAGCTGGACAGATACTACAAAGGTAGCTATGCCGCCAAGCAAAACGGGCACATGATGAAAATGGCTTCCAGGGACCTCTATTACTCGGAAGTTAAGCCCCTGAAATCAGACATCTCTAGGTTCCTTCCAGATTATCATTCGCACGTGGAAGCAAACACCAAACCGCTCGAATACGGTGGGCTAAAGCTGGAGTATCAGAGGATTCCTAGCGGATCCTCCCTGGACTATGGAGATCCCTTTCCTTACGCTCCCTCCCGAACGTCAGTGCAAAGCGAGTACTCCAAGGACAGACTGGAGTACGGTGACAGTGACTGGGGTAACGGGTCGGGCAAGGATGATTACGAGAAAAGGCCAAAGTCGTCGTACGTGAACGCGGCAAGTCCGCAGCCCGCCATGAGGCAGAGGTCGCGGTCGGGCTCCGGCCTGCAGGAGCCAGCCATGCCCTACGGAGCGAGTGCTTTTAAAGCAAGCCAGCAGGGGCACTCGTACAGCTCCTACACCTACCCTCGCTTGTCCGAGACGGCCGCAGGCATCTCGAAGGTAACGTTAATGCCCCYGATGGTGGCCCTGCCAGGACAGGGACCGAGTCGGGCAAAGCCGGAGGGCAGAGGGCATCTCAGTCAATGGGACCGCGCTGGGAGCGACAAGTCCGTGTCTTCACGGGTGTGAAAATGTATCTGGTTTTGGTTGTATGTCTGAAATTGGGAACTGGAGGGTTTAGGGTGTTTATTTAGAGGCAGATCTTTAAATGCCTACATTCCACTGATTTTCCTTGGGATTTCCAGATAACCCAGGCTCTACAAAACTTTCCATAATGCTAGAAATGCCAGTGTAGATCTTGGTAGCAGCCGAGAAGTTTGCCTCGTTTCAACACTAGGTTCTTCTGTATTTGAATTTATATTATCCGTATCTCTCTGTTACTTAGAAGAGTGTTCCCGTTCTGCTGCGGACACACAGTCACAAATTCAGTGCATCTGTTAGGTAGAAGAGCCTTCTGTAGTTAATTCAACATATATCAAGTCATATAACTAAGGCGGAAAGGCTGGCTAGCCTCAAGGCTGACATGTCTGCTTTTTAAAGCTGAATTTTTATTACAAGTTTTATTAACCCTTTGCCACTGATGAGAATAAGTATTTACCCTTCTCTCTCCCTTTTTTTTCACACCTAAAAATCAAAGAAGTTTATCTCACCCAAGACATTTTTTATATAGTTAAAAAAAAGGTCAAAACGGTAAAAAAGTGTTTCTCTCATGATATCTATAAGCAGCATCTGCAGAAATTTTGGCCTGCTCTGATTTTTCTAACTCGCATGAGGGATATTACTCATACAAGCTATCCAGCCCTTGGGAAGCCAGCGTATCCTAATCCTAACAGCTTGCCATTTTGTTCAGCCAAGGGGAGAACTCTTTTCTTACATATCTATAGCTCACATAGCTATAGTGATGACCTGCTTACACGTATCGTATTCTGCGAGCGCTGTTTTTSCTAAATTACACTGAACATTGCTGAGTTCCCCTGGTAACAGCAGCACAGGCTGCTCCTGCCCGGTGCCGGCACCGAGATTAGAGCTCATTTTTACTAGGGCTGAAATGTACCTGGGTTGTCTTGACTTACCCACTGTTTTGAAGTAGGCAACTTGTCAAGTGGAGAGAGCTATTCTGCTGTTTAATAATGATGTGAACAGCACATTTTATTACTCTGGGTAGGCAGGGCTCGGTGCATTGGGAGCCTGGTGCTGTCCTGCTGCAGAACTGGAAGAAGTTGCCCAAATGTGTGATATCCACATGCCAGAGTCGTGTGAATGTCTTGTTTTGGTTTCAGCTATTTTACTCCTTCTGGGGTGCAGTGTTTTCCTAACTAGTCAAGGGAGAGAGRCATCTTTATTCAAGATTGCATTGAGTGACAGATCTGGGCCGTTGAGTTTGAGGACAGATCTTGCCATGGAGGGTTGAAGACTATTRTCACTGCTAAGTCTCTTCCCTTGCTTTTCCCAAGCTGGGGGATCATGAAGCAATGCGTGTGTTTCATTAGGGGGCTGATTCCAATGGGCTGATCGAGCAGTGCCAGCCCCAGCTTCCTGCACAGAAGGTGGAGGCCACCCTGAGCTCTTGCCTCACACTTGCCAGCTTTGGGCAGCTCAACAAGTGTCAGGGCTCAGYGGGTTAGCCGGCATGCACAGGAGGAGAGGCACTGCTCAGGGAGCAAGCTACCACCATGAGAAGATCCCAGGTCTCCAGGAGAGCAGACCCGTGCCCCATGCTGCCCATCAGCTCCTGTAGCACAACCTTTGGCCAGGGCAGGGCTGGGGCAGAGGCTTTCAGATGGCTGGTTCAAGGCTTTTGAGAGAGATTGAGCTCTCTGATGGCAAATACTAAGTGTTTGCTAAGAAATGCATCCACTGAAGGTGTGTGAAACCAGGCACCTAGAGCATCATTCACTTYGGGAGCTTCAAGCACAATTTGTACACTGCACCTTTTGCTGTTTTTCTCAGTCCTCAGACAGCAAAAGTTAACTTGAGAATTAAAACAATTCCAGGGGGGAAATGTATATTCTTCGATAACATGTCAAATAAAGAACTTTAGTTTGAAAATCCATCTTTAATACATTAAAAAAACAGCTACGGTGATGTGAACTCTCAAAGTTATGAGGAAAACTGCAGACAGGCTATCTACCATTTCCTTCATTTAAAGCAATCATTTTTCCAGAATTTAGTATGGATAGAAAGTGCAGAAGGACAAAACCACTGATAATTCATAGACTCCCTTGTGCCTGATCCTGTAAGTTTTACAACATTCAGTAGGACTTAAGATTGAGGTATGTTTTATGGGACTCAAAGCACTACAGACACTTTGAAAAATACTCTATTAAAATGCAGTAACAACTTTGGAAAAAAAAAATGCCTCCACGCAAGATTCATTGTTAGCTGTTTCTCTCCCTGAAACATCAAAAACACTCCTACACCCTCAGTATACTGAAACTTGATGATTCACTGTTAYATGCAGCAGTTTCAATTCCCAAACCCATCCACAGCTCCTGGAAGTGAATAGCGGTTTCTTGTCTTGGATGATTGCTAAAGAACCTTCTTTTCAAGGAGGCATTAGTAAGATAATRGTTCATTCACTGGATTTACTAAATGAGAATCAGGTCTCAAATCAGATATTTTACAAATTAGATTGGCTTTAAAGTATAATTAAAAGTGGAAAAAAAGTAAGCATTGAAAAAGTCTGCACACAGTTGCACAGCTTAAAAATACTTTTAACAAAGATATGCATTTCAGCTTGTAAGTCTGGAGAGTATGTTTAGTTCAGAGTAGTGATGGGAAGTGATGTAGCAGATAAATTTATACCCTATTTCATCATCAGTGACTTCAGCAGTCTTACATCAGGAGACTTTTGACCCGTTGGGTTTGATGGCAGCAGCATTGCAGAGGGATTTGAGGGGGCAGCGTTGCTCGTAGGAGGCTGAGGGCGACCAACCTGGGTTCAGATTTGGTTCTCTCATGGGTCTCCCCCAATGTTACTCGCTGGCTCCTGCAGAATAACTCCTTTAATCCCTGTGCAGTGTTGCAGCATGTGCCTGTGTGCAGCCAGAGCCATTCCGACATGGAAATCACGTTCCGTTTTGTTCAAAGCAGTCACGTCAGCAGTGTCACACCTTTGACTTAACCTACCTTTCTGCCTCCTTTAAACCCAYGGCACCCTCTTCCAGGTCTGCACACTGTAGCAAGGGTTTCTTCTATTGATGGGCATTTTGCTGCATCCTCCTCCTCAGCACAAGCAGCCCTTCTAACCTTTTGCCTTTGATGATGTGTTTGCAAAGCTCAGGGGGCTCCATCTAACTTAACTATTCCTCATACCTCCTTGTTTCCTGCTTTAAACAAGGTCCCATGCAATTTGCAGGTACTCTGTATCGGGACGATGCTTCCAGGCTGGCAGTGGCAGGGTCAAGCCCTTACTATAATCCCTCTATTTTTTCCCTGTTATCCACATGCCAGAAGATGTCCATGAATGCTGTCCAGTGTCACTGCACATGGATCTAGGAACTTTGCCGAGATTTCTGCTGAGTGCTACAGAATTGCCCTTTCCCATGCAGTCTAGGTGTCCTTTACAGCCAATCTCTTCTACATGTCCCCATGCTGCTGGTTTTAGCGTGCACTGTGAACACAAGTTTTCCTGGTACGTTGCAGAAGTCCCTTCCACCTCCTCACTTACAGCCTGTGTCCAGTGCCACCTACATAGCTCCTGTGGCAGGAAAGCATCCCTTGCAAGCACCAAATATCCCCAGTTTCTCGTCACCAGTGGGATACCCCTGCTCCCGTTTCTAAAGCAGCTGAGGGCAGTGTGGATAGGAGATTTGCCCGAGCAAACGGCATCACCAGGCAAGGCCTCCCTTTCAGATAGACAGATGCTCCAGCCTAATGTCGTGCAAAATGGGTATCACTGCCATCCAAGTGGAAACCGCAGTGACTCTGAGCACTGTGTTGTATCCCCCTTTTAACAGAGAAAAGAGCTGCCTGCCCGAGGGGCTGCGTGTGGATGTGAGTGATGCTGCGAGTCGGTGGAGCAGCCCGCACGGCAGCACCAGTGTGTTTCATGTGATGGATTTCATGTCAGAGCTTAAGCTGCTCTGCTGACCTGATCCTGAATGAGAGTGGGKTTTTTTTCTTTCCTTTGTGGTATTGAAAGAATTTCCTTTCAAATAATTCAATAATTATAAATAATAATTCAAAAAAATAAGTAAAATAGTTCAGTAGAATTATTTGTGGGGTAAGGTGTGTTTGGCTTTGCGGTGATGTGAAGAACTGCATTGCAATACAGCCGAGGTTAAGCTGATTTAATCATTTTATCTCCTGCATTTCTGTAATATCTCATGGTATTCAAGAGGTGAATGGTTTTAAATTTTGCTGCAAATCAGTTTTAAATGCTAACTGCAAAGCTCTTAGAAATTTGTGACAGGTTTTGGKTTTTTTTCTTTTTTTTTTTTCGGTGCATTTTGAACCCCAAGTTTTCATTCTGAAATTTCATGGTGGAATTTGTTTTTGCCAGCGTACTAAGCATAGGAGGTGCCCAGCCACTTCAGGCGTGGGTGTAACCCAGGCTTGAACAGTTAATTAGTATGAATTTATTTAGCTGAAACTTCTAGACTGGGCTTCCCCCCTCTCTGCGTAAAAAATATTATTGCACGTGGATCTGTGTAAATAGGTATATAGGGCAGAACTAAATTGAGTTCCCTCCCTGCCKTGAACCATCTGAGCACTTTCCCATGTTAATTAGATTGGCAAATGTCCTTTATGAAATCCATAATATCTCTGACCCCCTTTTTTACTTTATGGGTGCCTCTGCTTGGCGGCTTCAGTGAAATTATGGCCATAATTATTTGTGCCTTTTGCTGCTATGGAAATAATGTGCGAGGAGGTTGCTGTGCCCTGCAAAGATGCGTTGGATGCCTGTGCCTTACGGCTGAGAGCTGGCRCGGTGCGAGGCCCGCGCCGGAGCGGGATCCGCTTTCGGAGGGGGCCCTTGGGCAGAGAAATCCCCTCATCCCTCCTGCTTCGGCTCCCAGGAAGGACCGGGATGTCCCCTCACACGGGATGCTGGAAGGCACTGATACGGTAGCGCACTTGGAGGCTTTTCTCCCCGCACTGACTCGACTGCAGCTAGAAACTCCTCCTCGCTTGCAGCAGCCTACAGTGATAAATTGATGCTGCGGCAGATTTTTTTTTTTTCTCCCTCTTTTTTTTTTTTCTTTTTTTTTGCAGTCTTAGCATAAAATGGTCAAATGATGTTCCACTGCAGAATTCAATTTCACAGTTCAGTTGGGTCCTTGATTACACTGCCAAATTCAGATTAATGTGCATTTAACTAACATGGATCAGGGGCTCCTGGCCGGCAGCCAGCGGTAATAGTAGCAACTGTGAGTTGTGTAGGGCTCTCTGCTCCGTCCACCCCTGTGCACCACCACTGAAATTGATTGATTAAATGAATTCATTGCCATAATTATCTGTAATTGTGCTACATCGTGAGCCTGTGTCTAACCACCCACCCCCCTTCCACGTCCTCCCCAGGGATATTCCACACATTGTCAGGAGCGACATGTGTTGTAACATAAATGTGGAGATGTCCTTTTTTGGAAATTCTTTGTATTTTTGAGGGAATGAGAGCTTTTTTTTTTTTTTTTTTTTGCCTTTCTCTTCTTTCTTTTTTTGTCTAGATAGAGGCAAGCTCTTGAGCAAGTATCTTGTTTGAGAATGGAAGGTGTTCATTTGCTAAGAAGCTTAGAAAAGCCTGAGAAAATAAAAAGAAGAAAGGAAACTGTAAATGAAAAAAGCTTCCCATCGAGATAATTTCCTCTGCGATTGTCTCTGATTTTAGATGAAAATYAGTGGTTTTGTGACACCGCAGTTAAGTAGCTTGTCACTCTGGCAAATGATTTAAGAAATGGTAAATTAAATTAGTCTCTTTGAAGCAGTCCCTTTGAAAACTCCCCCAAACCACCTCTCATTTCAAATAGGCTGGGGGTGACCTACTGGAGAGCAGCTTTGTGGGGAAGGACCTGGAGGTCCTGGTGGGCAAGTTGGCCATGAACCAGCAAGGTGCCTTGTAGCAAATGTGCCCACTGGGTGCATTMGGAGGAGTGTTGCCAGCAGGTCAAGGAGAGTGGTCTTGCCCCTCAGCCCTGGTGAGGCCACATCTGGGTTGTAGTGCCTAGTGCTGGACTCCTCAGTACAAGAGGGGCATGGAGAGAGTCCAATGGAGGCCAGCTAGGAAGATGAAGAAACTGGAACATCTCCCCTATGAGGAGAAGCTGGGTCTGCCCAGCTTGCAGAAGAGAACACTGAGAAGTGATCTCGTTAACATGTATGATAAATATCTGAAAGGACGGTGCAGAGGGGCTGGGACCAGGCTCTCTTCAGTGGGGCACAGTGATAGGACAGAAGGCAACGGCCACTACATGAAACCCAGGAAACTGGCTCTGAACGTAAGGCAAAACTTCTTTCCAGTGAGGATAACAGAGCCCTGGAACAGGATGTTCAAAGAGGTTGTGGGGTCTCCAGCTTTGGGGATATCTAAAAGCTGTCTTGACAGGATCCTGTGCAACATGCTGTAGGTGCCTCTGCTTCAGCAGGAGCTTTGGGCTAGGTGATGTCCCTTCCAAGCTCAGCCATTCTGTGGTTCCGTGGTGGCCTCATCCTGGAGGCTCTGGGAAAGGCTGGTAAGTCCCAGATGCATCTCCGCCAAGGAATGAATTTTGAGGCTGAAGGCTAATAAGAGGCATCAGCCCATCTTTGATGAGCTTGGCATCTAYCTCGTATGAATGTGTGTGTCTGCAGTGCCAGGCTGAGGAAGGCTCAGCTCTGTCCCTGCATCAAGAGCTGGCAAGTAGGTGCCAATGAGCGAAACGAGGACTGTGTGGCGAGTTGCAGGGGATGTCTGCAGCCCATGCGGCTTCCTGGGCACTACAGGCAGCCTGTGTGTTCCCCAGSTGCCTGCTGTAGGGCTCTTGGTACAGCACAGTGACAATGGGACACCACAGTGGCAGCCAGATAGTGGTGTTTGGCAGCTATGTCAGGTGTGCCTGGCCATGTCAGTGTGTGAAAACACTAGTCACCTTGCAGGATGCAGTGTATTCCTGGCCTACCCTTAGAGAGTGCCTTGCTGGTCTCCTCCAGGGCACTGGGTTTGCAGTCTTTTCAAGCTTCGCCTAACAGGTCTCTTGCTATTGCCGTGCCTCATTGGCACTTGCAAAAGTGGAAAGGCAATCAAGCTAAATAGCTTKTTCCTATGGAAAATGCCACAATTTAATGGTTTAAAAGTTTGTTTTCAGAAACAGGGTAGCAATGTTAGTTTTCAAAGTGGGTTCTTTGAAGATGTGAGTTGTGTCAGCACCCAGCTGAGGACCTCCAGGGGTAGCAAAAATGAATTGGTGATGGTTGGCTGGACAGATAGAAGAAACGATTTGACTTTAACCAAGTGACSCAAAAGGAAGGTTAGGAGACTGATTAGGGAGACAGCAGTATGAGCAATCTCTGAGAGGACAGTGCTGAAGGACTGATGGTGCCTGGCATGATGAGTAGCTCCCATTTTTTAATGCTAGTAACTGTCACTCTTTGTGCTTGACTAGGGTGCTAACTTGCCTGGTTTTGTTTCGCAGGTGGATTATGATCGAGCACAGATGGTAGTTAGCCCACCACTCTCCGGATCAGACACCTACCCCAGGGGCCCAGTAAAGCTACCTCAAAGTCAAAGCAAGGTCAGCTACTCAAGTAGTAGCTACCAGTATCCTTTGGTCTATCACAARGCATCTCTGTATCACCAGCCGTCTCTCCAGCCAAGCTCTCCCTACATTTCCACGGCATCCTACCCAAGCTCCCCAAGTATCACATCAAGTGCTTATCCTCCACCAAGCTGGGGTTCCTCCTCAGACCAGCAGCCATCCCGCGTGTCCCACGAACAGTTCAGAGCTGCCCTGCAGCTCGTCGTCAGCCCAGGGGACCCCAGGGAATACTTGGACAGCTTTATCAAGATAGGGGAAGGCTCCACAGGGATTGTCTGTATCGCCACTGAGAAGCACACGGGAAAGCAAGTTGCGGTGAAGAAAATGGACCTCAGGAAACAGCAGAGAAGGGAATTGCTCTTTAATGAGGTAAGTTATTTTGGGTAATGAGACCATTTTTACAGGTGATAGGTTGAACGTGAATCATGAACAAAATGGCAAACCAAGTGAATGTCTGCCTAGAAGAGATCATGAGATCTAAGTACATCTGTATTGTAGAAATATTGTAGAATCAGAAAAGTTTCAAATTATCTTCCTGGCTTTTAGTCTGTAACTGTTAAAATTCATAGCAAGCATTTAAGATATCTGTCAATAGATTCATGTAGGCTATAAGGCAGGACAAAGACTTTTAGGGACCTGTAGAAATAAACCATGTCCTTATGGGTCCATTCAGGGTACTTCTAGGGTATTGTATCTTCTCTTGTATTAGAAATCATTTGTTCTCAAATGTAAATGTTTCTGTTGTGAGAAGGGTAAGCAAGTCTGGGAAGTGTGTCTTGGAGGAACACAGAATTTCAGCTATGTAGCATAGAAATGAAGTCAGCTTGGGAAGACTGACTGCATCCTCAAGCCTGGAGTTTTAAGGAAGCTTCAGGTAGATCCCAAGTAGTAAAAGGAGTTTAAGTGCTCCCTCAAGCATGTTGTGCCCTATAGCAGCACCTATGGAGAGATTTGCATGATCTGGATCAAAATGAGGATTCAGATGATGTGAATTGTGTGGATTTGGCTGATGATGTCAACTTCTAAGCTGAAGCTGGGAGTGGGGGTTTGTGCTGAAATGCCCTGAGAGTTGACCTACAGGTYAGTCTTGTTCATGGTATTCACTAGCAGAACTTTTATCTCCATCAGATCAGAATATTATGTTCCTTTATGGAATACTACACTGACAAAACCATGTGTCCTGTTCACTTGAGACGGCGAATCCCTTGCACTCAGGCAGCTCCTGTTTCAGAGTTTTGTATGCAGGAAGAATGAAGTACCCTGTGGATTTAGATCTTGTCTCCATCTGAGCAAAATCTTAAATGATTACAAATGTGTGCAATTATGTGTTTAGCTAGAAATACTGGAAAAAGGTCTCGGGGCTTAAAATCATTTCATTTCTGTAATCGCCTAGATACTGGAAGAACAGAAGACTAGTCAGGAAAATTTAGTATTCTGTCCTAAATTTAGACTAACCTGTCCTGTAAACTGTTTTAAATACTGACCAGTGCTGGGTATTTAGGGAGGATCAGAAGGCAGGCAGGGAAATCACTGCAGTGATTTCTGCCTTTTCCACCTTCCAGGTATACATGGCTCATGAACATGTTGAGCCTGGCCTTTGGGCTTATGTCGCTGTTTAACAGCTTGCAATGGATTTTTTCAATATCTTTACAAATTGTATTTTTAAATCTTTGTTTACTTTGAACCTACCACCTAGTTATTTTATTTATTATCACCTATTTGTCTTCTCCAAGTTGCTTATTGTGTAAAATACCTGTCATAGAGTTCCTCAGATGTGTCATTGCCATACTGAAGAATCAGGGACTCAGAGAAATCTTGTTGGGAAGGTATCTGTGGGGTCCTCTAGTACAGCTTCTGGCTTGAAGCAAGACTATATCAGGTCACGCATGGCCATGACTAGGTGAATCCTCCAAGGATGAGATCTCACAGGGTACCTGTTGCATGTCCTGTTCTGCCCTCCTAGCAGTTTAGGAAAGCATTTTGCTTTCCTAAATTCCCTCCAAAAAAGCGTGAAGCTCCCAAGCTGCAACCTGTAGCTTTTGCAACTTGTGATCTAATCTATTTACTGGATTCTCGGGCAAAAGTCATTCCATATACCTGGTTGTCCTTGGGTGCATCTGTATTAGCATCTTATTAAAGACTGAGTTTGCACTTTCAAGAAGAATCTCCTGATAACTTATTGCACTTTGTTTTGTACTTAGAGCAACCTCAAAGCAGAGAAAGTGGTTCTTTAGGGTGAATCTAAACAGACACAGGCATGCCAGGAATGCACCTGGTATGCTGACAGATATTCAGTCCAGAAACCAGACTAGAGAAAGTTCAAAGTAAAACCGTCTGAAAAATGTATACCATGCACACAGGATGCTTGAAGTCACCTGTTTCAATCTACAGATCTCCTGGTTAGCATTATCTCCTTCCAAATCCTCCTTTACTGCTAAAAGCAGTTTGAGACAGGTCCTGTGACAGGCCAACCATCAAGCACAGCCCTAGCATGGGGATCTCCACAAGCCCCACCATGGGCAGGGRTGCCAGGCATCCATCTATCTTTCCTGCAGTGATCTTATCCTTAAATATTCCTTTTACAAACTCCCTGTCTACTGACTACCCACAGTATCTCGCAGGCTTTCTGCTTCAGCTCTCTTTCTATTTCTTTTATTGTTAGTTTTTATGCTTGTGGCAAGCTGCTCTTCAGAATCATTTTGGCTGGTCTGTCGTTGTTTTTTATATTTATGTCCAGATTTCGTATTGTTTTCTTTTCCCTCATTTGGGCAAGGCARTGTTTTAATGGGCAGCTCTCTTATTCTGAATACACACATTGACTCTGCTGTCAACCATGCCAGTCTTTTTCTGRCATCTTTTGGATAGATTGTATTTATTTGCTTTATAAGGCTTTTTAATGAGCTTCCTCATTTTCACAAGGTTCTTTTTGAAAGCTCTGACTGTGCGCTGGATCCTTTGGCTTTATTTTGCCTCTGCTGTAACGTTGCATCAAATTGCATTGCAGTAACTCTAACAGAACGTTTCTTGGATGGTGACATCTTGAAGGAGGCCCCACATGCTATTGAGGACCAGGTAGAGAGTTGCTTCTCTGATGAGCTCCTCTTAGACTGTCAACTCTCCTCCCTTGTTTTCTTTTTTTTTTGTTAAATTCTGTAGTGTTTGAAAAGTGTTAGAAAACAAGAGCATAAGTACTTCAGAAATGCAACTGTTCATATAAATAAACAAATCCAAACACATCACGTGTAGAAATTCTTGTTGACTTTAGGGAATTATGTATGTGCACRGGCCTTCTCTGATTAGGGGCTATAGACACCTAGGTTAGACATTACAGGACTCAACCTAAATTCAAGGAACTGTAGAACCAGGCTGGTTCTAGGTGTAGATGTGCAGAACTGTTAACTGTTTGGGCACCTATGTAGCGGATTCACCCATATACCAAACCTTAAGATATTAATTATTCCAGCACTTACCCTAACACTATTAAGTACTTATCATTTTTAAAATCATAACTCTGTCCCATATTAGTGATTATTCTTTTCTCCCCAACGATCATTGAGTTTGAAGTAAAGAAATTATTTCATTTCCAAGCAAATTATTGTAAGGAGTGAGAAAGGCTATATCTTTGTAGGGGAATATAAATTATAAATGCACAATCAAAATCGCAGAAGTAAATCAGTTTGGAGTATTCCATTTCTAGCTTGGGTATCAGAATTATTTATGTATGATCACAAAACTCTGTGCCAGCTGGTGAGCACAAACTTCTCCAGAGAGTTGGCAAAATCACAGAGTAATTTCAAAGAGCAGCTCAAGCATTGACTCTCGGATTTAGACCAAGCCTTAAGGGCTTATTTTTCAAAGTATCAATTGTAGCTCCCTGTTCTTGGACCACACAGAGATGCTGAAGAGCAACTTCTTGTACAGGATACCTCATCTTGTGAGGATCCATGGACGAAGCTGAGCTTGGTCCTTTTCAGTCACTAACACTATAGTACATGTAGACAATTTAGCCTGTACCCCTCTGGGGGAACCCCCTGCCCAAATCCTGATTCCCATTTCATTTTACTGCCTATGATGTGGTCGGTCTCACAGCAATATCAGAGTCCACTGAGTTGCCTTATCCCCTGTCTTATCAACTTTTTATTAARTTCCTTGCAAAGTACATGATGCTACATTGGTATGGGACAGAGAAGATTTTCATGTGTTGAATGACTGGTCAAGTGGAAAAAAATCTTAGTTGTACTGAAAGCAGCTGGCAAGAAAAGCAATGAAATGAGTAGTCCTATCCATTCAGGAAAGATGATTGTCTATGATTTAGAATTTAGCAACTGAAGAGACTTCCTCTTTCCTACTGTATTTGTGATGGGTGTCATTTTTATGCAAGTGTATTGATTCCGTTTATGTGTTGGCATAATGATCAGCAGAAATGTGGTCCATAGCAGGACATTTGGTGAAAAAGCAGGTCAAGAGAAGCATCAGGTAATGCTCATGGTAACTCACCTGGAATCCCCTCCTTTCCCACAGGTTGTGATCATGAGGGATTACCACCACGAGAACGTGGTGGACATGTACAGCAGCTACCTGGTTGGCGATGAGCTCTGGGTTGTGATGGAGTTTCTGGAGGGCGGCGCTTTGACRGACATCGTCACTCACACGCGGTAGGTCGGGGACCACCCGTCAGCGCCTTGTGGCAGGCGGGCACCCCGTGACACAGCGGGGGCCTGGGGTGGCTGTCCCTTGCTTCTACGTCTGCCCCATGCCACGTGGGGCAGCAGGAGGAGAGAGGAGCTGGTGAGACTGGAGGCACCCACCTCTCCATCGCTTCAGCTTAAACGGGAGGCAGATGAAGTGTGTCTGAGCCACAGCCAAGCCAGAAGAGTCCAGGGAGGAAGTCRTTCTGCTGGGAAACCAGCAGAAGTCTTGGGACCCTTGCTGTAAATTCAGTCTTTCATTCTTCTAGAAGCAGGTGGGAAAGGGAGGGAAGCATGAATACAACATCAATCAATAAAAATGTAGATCCCCCTTAGCTGGAAATCAAGTTGGAAATCTTCTTCTCCTGTATTTCTCATCCCAGGCACATCTTCCCGTATTTCAGTGTTCCTAGATGTCATTGGCACAACTTTCACTGACTCCAGGGAAGGCTCCTCTTGCAGTTAGTGATGCTCAGTGGTTGATGAGATCTGACATACTGAAATAAATCAGAGTATTGCAAGTCGTTTGTTAACTACTTTTCCCCAAAACATTAAAATCCCTATCTCAGATATTTGTGACAGGAGTTAAATGGCAGGAAGATGTTCCCAGGATAACACTTTGTAAGAGCTGTCATCTTTTTTCTTTACTCACGCTAGTAGGTCCTTCATCTTCTGGCCTTTTTTATACTTTATGACCTTCCCTCCAAGATTGTGCTGAAATTCTTCTAATTGCATCACCAAGTATTTCAGTTGCAGTAAAAAGAGACCATTTCATTTGTACAACCCAGCCCAAAGGGGAAGACCTTGCCCAGGAAAAAGGCTCTGTTGAACCACACACTGCTATTTCTTTTGCTTTTGGGTCAAGAACATCTAAGGGCAAAAGCCCTGTCTCTCCAGGCAAGCTTCTCAGTGTGCAATAGGACAGCCATGGGTCATAAAGCCCCGGGACATGGAAGAAGGAAGGAAAAGTCTTGGCTTGATTTGCAGCTTCTCACTTGGGAGCTGCTGTTTTCCAGCTTGAACCACCTCTGGCTCCAAGCTCAGGAGTGTCAGAGCTGCAGGGCAACGCACGGATACTGGGGCAGGTAACAACTAAAATAAATCTGAGACAAAGCTAAGGGTTTTTGAAGTATTTCTTAATTTACTGCCACTGTTCTGCTGTGGCTAGGGGAGATATCTGACTAGCAGAGAAAGCATCCTTTATGTTCTGTGGTTCTGCCTTTCACGTCTTTGTGTGAGATGTGTAGAGTGCATTAAACTGCATTAAACTGAATTAGCAGTGCTCCTCATACGCCATCTGTTTCTTCAGATCAATGCAGAACAACTGTGGAGGGCTCTGAAGTGGCTAGTGGCTCTTATGGCCTTATGTGCTGGGTTCTTGAGGAAGCAAAATCTATTCAGGTTTCACAGCCTCATCTCCTAAGCGGATGTCTCCGCACAGAGAGAACTGCTCCCTCTGTGTTACTCTTGGTTGGTGCTTTGGGGAACAAGTCCAGGACATTTTCCTCAGGGCAGCTCCGTGCAGCTTGAAGCACTTGTGTAGGTGGCTTTCATSCAGGTCACAGCCTGCAACTTGAACCCTGTCAAATAGAGAGAGACTGGAGCCGTGGCGATATCGACCACCGCCCAGAGTGATGAGAAGCTGAGAACACAAATCTGGGCTTTGTGGTTTTCCTCCAGGGTCCCAGTTACTACAACTATTGTGACTGCCTCAAACAGGGGAATTGTGTTTCTGTGCTGCAGCTCTGCTGTTTTTACATTCTGCTTGGCTTTCCCYGTTTCTCCACTAACACTCAGCTTGTTGTTTTAGAATGAATGAAGAGCAGATAGCCACTGTCTGCCTGTCGGTCCTGAGAGCCCTGTCCTACCTGCACAACCAAGGGGTTATTCACCGTGACATCAAAAGTGACTCCATCCTGCTCACGAGTGAYGGGAGGGTGAGTCCAGTGCTCAGCTTTCACTTTGATCCCTCGCCAGGATGTGAGAGGAGTGTGTTAATTCTGAGCAAAGAGTCTGCCATGGGGAGAGCTCCATGGAGCGCTGTGAGCTCCTGGGGCAGCTGGTGCCTCCTGCAGCTGCCACCCCTCACCACTTCCCCTTGAAGAAACCCAAGTGCTACGATGCTGCCTCGGAGCAGTGATTTGCTGAAAACAGTTAATGGTAGCACCACGAAGCCCACGCTTGCCAGAGATAAYGTATACTGAAAGGAGTACAGTGCATGTTGGGTGGCTGCTGTGAGAGTGACACTATCTAAAACAAAATAGGGGAAAAGAAAAGAAAAACAGGGGAAGCTGAGTCAACAAGCAGCTATTTTGCTGCACGTCATGAACTGCAGAAGGTAACAAGGCTCTTGATCCTAGTCCTACGTAGACCTGTCCCCTCCGGCATGCGGGTGCCTCCGCCTGGGCTAGCCCAACATCCCCAGCAGTTGTGGTTAATGTCACCGTCACAGGCACAGCCCATCGTGGGGGGCCTGAGCAGGCAGGATGCAGTGGAAACTATCCCACAGGGACAGATAAAGCTTATGTAACGGGAGACCTTCTTTTGTGCTGTGCTGCGCCTACCCTAACGCCTCTCAGAAGTRTTTTCTTTTTACTATATTTAGTTATGTAACCTTTTATACTCTGCTTGCTCTGTTTTCCTAAGCTGATTAGGAGACTAACTTCAGTATGCACTAATAGGAGATTTGATAAATTACTACAGAAAAACTTGTAGTTGTACCTTGTATCATACCTAAGCTTATGAGACGGTTGATAATGCCTGATCTTTTACACTGTTTCACCTGATAGCTCCCTGTTACTCAAACTGCAGTGCTGGCACTTTGAGATGTGATAATTTAGTCATTCTGCCTAAGTTACATCCCTGTCTTCTAGTTTAGACTTCACTTTACCCTGTTACAAGGGTAACTAGTGACAACTAAAGCACTTGTGGGACCTGTGTTCACGGTTTTAAGGATTGCCCTACTGGAAATACATGTTAGACTAAAGCAAAACTTAKTAAGTTGAACTTGGCCGAAGACCACTCAATACTTCTGGAAATAAATCTAGATCATCTGATTCAGAAGGCAAAATCTTGGTCTCACCTGCAGGCAAAAACAGGCTCCTCTAGCCTCAGGGACAGTCCCTTTCCAGACCTGATTTGCCCTTTATAATTTAATCCCTCCTTCACCAGTGAGAGGGCTGTTCGTCCTGCAGCAGGCACAAGGCTCTCCTGTTAATTTTGCCTGGGGAAGAAAATTCCAGGTATGGAAAAGTTTTTCAGTTGCRTTTCAGTCCGTGTTGCTGAAATAGCATCTGATCTGCTTTCAGGATCTGCATACAGTGCCTCATTATACTCATTACTCCAGTACTTATTATCTGCATTGCAGATTTCTTCATGGCTGTGTTGTGCAATTATCTTTTTTTAGAAAATCGTCGTCTTTTATGTACTGGAATGAGCAATAGATATGCAAAAGCTCTTGTGCTCCTACAAAAGAAGATTGGACTCTGCTTCCAAAATATGCATTATTTCATCTATTCTTCCTCCTGTAAAGTGAAAAAATACATTTAGCTTGGAGAACTTGGCTATTATTGGCTTTGTTTTAGAAATACCATCAGTTATTTTGTAATTCCTTTAAAAATAATACCCTCAGTCAAAAAAAAAAAAAAAAAAGTAATGTCTGTATTTAATCCAAAAGAAAACAAATCAGTGATGATAATGAAGTGCTGGGCTACACAATACAGCAAATTAAGGAGCTGCCCACTTAACTTGTCATGGAGCTGTTTGGGTTTACTTCATAATCCCAAAGGCTGAATACACAATCTGATCTGGACTTTATATGCTCATCTTTTTTTTTCACCTTCTATGAATATAAAATGATTAATAACCTTGTTAAAGCTAAAGGAGTGGTGGAGGGTTATATATTTATTTAGAGGCCTCAAAGCGGTCACTAGGATTTTCCTGGAGGCTATTCCACATTAAGATAACCCCTATCTTAATTCCACATTAAGATAACCTCCTACACCATCCTGTGCAATAAAGACTCAGGCCTGGCTAAGCTAAGGTCAAACCCCTTAACCTGTCCTGTCCCAGGCAAACCTTGCAGTTCAGTCCTTGTCCATCCCCACTGCAGCTGGTACCCATGCATATCTCTTGGAGACATAGAGAATGGTTAAGGTTGGAAGGGAGATCATCCCTTCCAACCCTAGACCCTAGAGATCATCTAGTCAACCCCCCTGCTCCAGCATGGGACTCAAGATAAGCGTAGGGTAAAAGCATGGGGTTCAAGGTAAASATGTTTATCTTGAAGGTGAGTCACCCTTAGGGATGTTTGCTTTGATGGTCAAGGAGAACGTTTTTTCTTCCATGTTTTTTCTTAGATAAAATTGTCAGACTTTGGATTCTGTGCCCAAGTTTCCAAGGAAGTTCCCAAGAGGAAATCACTGGTTGGAACGCCCTACTGGATGGCCCCAGAAGTGATATCTCGCCTGCCTTATGGCACTGAAGTAAGTCTAAGTGGGTACCTAACGCCGGCCTCTTTCTTTAGTGAAAAACAACCTCCCTGGGTGTCCCAAATGACCAAGTCACTTGGGTTGCATTGCCCCCCAGTGCACAGCGCTCACCTCTGCATCCTCCTTTCTCTGTTTGGGGGTGGATTCTTTTGTTCCTCAGCCAAGGGAGAAATCTCTTCATGGGGTTTTCTGGGCTCAGGCTTGCAGTAATGCGGTAGCGTGGGAAGAGCAGTGTGCCTGCTGTGAGCAGCAGCACACTCACCCCTCGGAATTGCTAATCTTACGTGTTATTTGCCTTGAATTTTTGTATTTCAGTCTGTGCAAAGAGAATGTGCATGGGTTCTGAGTGGGTGCAGAGGTGGGTGAGCTGTGACTGCTCTCCCTGTGCCCTGCTGCTGCTGGGTGACAAGTCAGGCAGCCTTTTAGGGTCACAGATGATCTATCTTTTCCCCCAAAAAGGTGTGTATGGGAAATGGGGGGATGCTTGAAAGAAACATGGAACTGGTCGTGGAACTTTTGTGTTTTAAAGACTGCCTCAAGTCTAGGCTCATCAGTGCATCCAAGGTGTTTTAAGTAAGGCATTCTCAGAGATYGTGTATAATATTTATTTTTCCCGGATGGAATTTTGTGTAGAAATGTTTAACACCWTCAGCAGGTTTCTCCTGAAGCTGGAATTGCCTGTGACCAGGAGCAGTGGTGCGTAGCTTGGTCACGTCACGCACCGCAAGGACATGGGTTAAAGGAGGCAGTAATTCATCCCAAACGGCAGTCAGCAAGCTCATTAGCTGAGTAATGGTAACAAAAAAAAAAAAAAAAAATCCATGTATCTCTGGAACTATTTTAAGCAGTGCCAAACTGTCTGAAAAAAAGAGGTGATTCACGTGGTTTATTGGAGACCTTCAGATGAGCAGAGAAAGGGCTGGTCTGCGGGGAGCATGGGCTCGGGAGTGCTGTGGCATCACCCGGCTCTGCGTCACAGCACGTCTGCCCCAGAGCTGACAGGGGAGCAGGCTGCCCACTGCCTAGCAGAAAATCATAAATAAATAAATATGTATATTTAAGGAGGATAGAGTTAGCATAAGAACAAAATAGGTATGAACTATAAATATGGTTATATATGGGCTGACAAATTACAGGAATTTCAATCATCAGAGGAATAGGGCTTGGGACTAGCTTTGCAGCAGGCCAGAATTTAAAAAAAAAAAAAAAAAAAAAAAAAAAAGATGCTTTTTTTAGATGGAGTGGAATCGTTTTCCAAAGGGATTATGTCATGTGCTTACCTGTGATAGCTGCAGATGGGCTCAGGTGAAGTGCATGTTTGCATTTGTCTTTGGTCTCAAATGGCACCTCGGTGATATTTAGTATTAAACAGAATGTAAAATATTTAGTATTAAATGGAATGTAAAAGATTTTGCAGCAGCTGAACTATCCTTAACTCTTACTCTAGCAGCACGTTTCTGCAACATTACAGAGCCCACGTAGGGTAACTCCTCAGTGCAGCTGAAGTGAAATACAGTGGGGATTAGTCAAATTGTCAAACTAGCATAACTKAGCAGTCATTCCAGTGGACTTAGGCTCACTTAAACCAGCTGTGGATCTGATCTGTAAGTTATTTCTGATTTATTTCTTGATGAACTTACGATTTAAAAGCAAAAAAATGATATCACTTAGAGAAAAAGATACTAGATAGCTCACCAGACTGTCGGCTTACAATGGATGCAGRCACTAGATATACAAGAACAGGAGCTGGCTCTGAGGGTTACAGGAACCCGAGCATTTAGCCCTTTGCCCGCAGCGTTTCTGAAGGGATTCTCTGTTGCAGGTGGATATCTGGTCCCTTGGTATCATGGTTATAGAGATGATAGATGGAGAACCTCCCTATTTCAACGAGCCGCCGCTCCAGGCAATGCGCAGGATCCGGGATAACCTACCGCCCCGGGTGAAGGACATACACAAGGTTGGAGTTCTCATACATGCAGTGGGTCTTTAATGTATCCTGGTGCAGTAAATTCACTGGCATCTCCTGCAGGATAAACTGTGCCTGTGGGCGCCAGGTGGAGCAGAGGGTGCTGCACAGGGGTTCCTGCTGCAGCCAAGGACCAAGAAGAGAGTTGGGAAGAAGCTGCTGTGCCCTGCACTTCCCCCTGGTTGAGGTTTAGGCAAGTCACCCCTCCTGTGCACTCACTGGAGCGTCAGCAGCCGATGCCAGAACCTTTGGGGACGGCTCATTCTGGTGGTGCCCTCAGGGCAGCCCAGTGTGTTGTGGCTCCTCTCACGTGCCACATGCAAAGCCACACACGCACCTCGTGTGCTGGGTCCGCTGCTATCCCAGGGGTTTTAACCTATAGCAGAGGCCTATAGGAGACACGTGGCCCCTCGGATCAGTCCATGTTGCAGTGGTGCAAGGGCTCAGTGCGCGTTTCACCTCGCCAGGAGAAGCAGTTTGTGGAAAACAGCATAGATGGAAGTGAGTGTCTCTGCTGCTAATGCAGTGCCCTGTTGCAGGTCTCCTCGGTCCTCCGGGGCTTCTTGGACCTGATGCTGGTGCGGGAGCCCTCRCAGAGAGCCACGGCACCGGACCTGCTGAGACACCCCTTCCTGAAGCTGGCGGGGCCGCCCTCCTGCATCGTGCCCCTCATGCGGCAGCACCGGCACCGCTGAGCCCGCCGCCCGCAGCGCACGGAGGCCGGGAATCCCGGCGGGTTCGGGAGCGCGCGGGAAGGGGCAGCCGGGACCTCACGACGGAGGAGCAGCTCTGTGGAGGGAACGCAGTGGACCAAACCATGCCCGAGTGCTCCCTGGAGCTGTGCAGCACCCGTGGGCTCCCTCCGCCGCTGACGCCACAGCCGTGTGGTGACCTTAGGGGCTGCCCCACAGAAGGACCCGTCCACGGGCGGTCGTCTGCTCGGCTTTCCACCACCCGAGCAGAAGGATTCCCCCACCAACAATCCACCAACGTGGTTGCCAGCACACTAGGGGAGAGCACAACCGGAGTGCTACACCTGCATTTTCATGCAAAAGTAAAGGATAGGGCACTTCTGTTTCAGAAGAACACTTTTCTGGTGAAAAAAAAAAGCACTTTTTATCTCAATCATAGCGGTGTAATGTATTTTGAAATGAATTTGTAATTTTCTGTACAGTACTTTTTGATAATTTGCAGTACTTTGTCATGTAACCATCGTGCTAGTTGAAGTAATAAGTGTAACTTAGCAAGAGTCTGGGGCGGGGAGAAATCTTTCCTACTTTTTTTAACCCTTTTGCAAGTGAAAAAGAAAAAAAAAAAAAAGAAAAACCTATAGGAACCTAGAATGTTTGGCTGATTTTCTATCAGGTTCAGTAGAGAACACTTCTTACCTTTACAGCAGTTTCAAGAGCAATGGGAGCTAACAATACTAATGCAGTAATGAGCACTGAAYGTGTTGCTTTGAGAGTATTGTTACCCAGCATTGCTGGATCGGAGGGAATTCTCGCTGCGTGGTGGAAATCAGCACTTCTGTGGAATGTCACAAATGGTTTCGTTCTCCTTCCTTTCCTCGCTTCTAGAGCCAAGGGAGCCATCGATGCCCCTCTGTTCAAAGGTCCTCTTCTAATGACCTGGTGGGTTCTTCATTTCATGCTCTCGCATGTCACCACAAAGTCCCCATTTTTTTGTATCACACTTTGAAAGTCCAGCTGGACTGCAGAAGTCTAAAAACCAAGCGGGTATTCTCCAGATTTCACACAGACTGCTGCAATGTGTTACAAGATGTTTGCCATATAGAAAAAGTTGTGCTGCTGTCTAGACCTTTCTGAATGTTGATACAACGGTTGACTACTACGCTACATTTTTGTGTTATTTGTTGGATGAAATTGCATGTTAACTGTAGGCCTAAATAGATTTGCCTTTAAAATTGTTAGAAGTACTTCATGATTATTTCAATGATACATGCATTTTATTTATTAATGATTAGTTATTTTTAATTATGTAAAATACAAAAGCCATGTTTTTTTCTTACTGACCTCATTTTACAATATCATTAGGAAACACAAACCCAATTTTGTGAAGACGCACTTGGTTTATTTCTTATGGAATTTCAGAGTGACTAAATTAATTGTTATTTATTGTTGTAAATTATAACTGAACTTGTAGAACTGGCATGAGCTGTTTCTTAATACTCTTCCTCCTGGACAAGAGATTGGCCTGTAGTCAGGAGCTGCTTTAGTACTGCCCCCCCAAAAAAGTTAAGCATTGAAAGGAGAGGAAGAATTGAAAATTCACAAAAGGGGAGATGAACCCAAGTAAGGATTCAAACACTGAGTAAGTATCCTTGAACATGCATATCGTGCTCCTTTCTCCCCTCAACCTTATTTGCACATTTTAACTTTACATCTAGGTGCCCTCTTTTTGACTTTGCAACTAGGTGCCCTCTCCTAGAAAGCCCTCGAGGTGCCTTGGCTCTTTGGCCAAGTCTCTTTGGAAGCTCTTTGGAAGGGGCCARTGTCACTAGGGATCTCCAGGGTTTCGGCTCCCAGGATCTGCGTGGTYCAGGTGGGATCATGGCTGGAGCAGCCCCATTCCCAGGGTCTCCATGGCTGGTCGGTCCCACTGCCAATACCCCTTGTAGAAGGAGCTGAGGTGGCTACAGGATTTTAAAACTCATTCATATTTTGTAGTCTTGGCAACTCAGGAAAAAAAGGCTGCACCACAAGCGACAGTGACCGGCGTGTGGAACCAGAGTATTCGCCACAAAATTGAACTTTTGTAAACATCTTTGAATTTAAAAAAAAAAAAAAAAAAAAAGAAAAAAAGGGGGGTGTTGGGGTTGTTTGGATTTTTTTAATATTCAGCACATTTTAAAAGGTACAAGTGGAGAATTTTCTGCGACTTTCTTACCATTCAGTATTTTAAACAGTGTTCATCAAGGTTACTGAAAGTTTTGTCAGTTTAAAAGTTCTTTTTTTTTTTTTTCCTTTTTTTCTTTTGTGAACACCAACTACCGGTGAAAATAAAATGCACATGCAAAATGAAAAAAAAAAACCCAATAAATGTTTTCATTTACAGCTTGTTTTTTCCTGTGCCTTATTTGTGTGTGCTGCACTTGGGTCAGCTGCACGGCGCTTGGCCAGACACCCCGAGAGGCTCCTCGTAGCCTATTTCTGTCGCTGCTGCTGGCGGTTTTTCCACGCTAGTGGCCGCAGATGCTGGGCCCTGGTGCTCAGCCCAGCTGTGTCCTGCCCCCCGGGCCATCCTGGCCCTCATGAAGCCCAGGGATGTGGCTCTCAGGGTTAGGAAAAGCCACTGGCTCCCAAACAAGCCCTATGCCGACCCCTCTGCCATGGGAATTGATGGCCAGGACTCAGTGGCTGTGCGGGTGTAGGTAAAAATGGGTTGTTTTGTGCTCTGTTTACTCCGTTTTTACTATTTCAAGAGCAAAAACAATGCTTTCCAGCTATAATTTTCCAAAATAAGAAAGAGGAGGGTGTGAGAAACCTCAGAAAAAAACACCCCCGTTGCATTGGGCCAACRGGAGGAGCGTAGCTGGAGGAAACCCCATTGCAGCACGAAGCACCGGCTGCTTTGGGCACTCGGTGTTCAGCAAGGGCTGGTATTAGCCCTGAGAAAAACACTCTTCCTTACACACACACACACASAGGAACCCTGTGGCTGAGGAGCCCGTGGTGCCACCAGAAACACCCGGTGACAGCCTTATGGTCCATCATGGGGCACCTAAAATAATGGGACGGGCGCTGGGACAAGCGCACGGAGCTGCACGCCCGGAGGACATTATTATTATGAAATAATAAAACAATGTGCTTGGCTTTGAAGGGGTCACCCGCAGCACCTCGAGTACAGCCGGCGCCTACCCAGCGGAGCAGGACGTGCCCACGTGCCGTGTAGGTCCGGCTGCCCAACGCGCTCATTCCCACGTGCCACGGGGAAGCCACGGATTTTTCCATGGCCCACAGGTTGTAAAATGGTCACRAATACTGTATCACAGTAGCACCCAGAGTTACAGCCGCCTCCCTCACCCCCTKAGCAATATATTGATAATCTATCACTAAAGCCCAAGCTTAAGTTGCTTATAAAAGTCATTAATAGCCCCTTTATTTAAAGTTGCTATTTACTACAGGTCCTGACCGAGGTTACCACAGCAAGCGATTCCTTTATCCATCGCTGTGTCCAAAAAGACACTATAAAGCAACTGGTTGAGGTTGCAGCTTATGGTGGCACATCTGTGAAGCAAAGCTGGAGAGAGAAGTTTTCTCCTAATAAAAGTGCTGCTCTCCTCAAGATCCTGAGATACCTTGGGGCACTGGTGTTTGATTAGACATGGAGGCCTCCCGCTGCTAAATAATTTTTTTTTTTCAAAAATACAAGCATGAAATTGGTAGAAAATTCAGATCAAATTCAGTATATAATATTTAGTGAAAAAGGGGAAAGAGCTGAAGGCCTTGAATAATTTTCTTTCAACATTTTAAAATCAGCTATGTCAACTTTGGGGCACAATGCACACAACAGTTCAACTAAAATTATTGTTTCAATTTCTGTCATWCCCCTCTCAGAAAAGGCATAAATCATTTCAAGCCATCCAGAAATTATTGTTTTAACTTAATTCYGAACACCAATAAATTAATGGCTGTATTGATCCACCTCTGCTCCTGACAGGCCCTCARGCTGGAGGCTGATGCTGGGCACCAGCTAAGGAAAAGACAGATCTGGCAGGAAAAACAGGTCTTACTTGTAACATCAGCCCATTTTCCAGAGGCTTTGGAGCCACAGCTCTGGCTCCAGCAGTCTCCATCAAGGGGTTGGGGGGGTTCTCCCTGCCCTAAGCCAGGTTGGACCTTACAGTGAATTAAGAAACATGGCAATCAGCTGCTTGGTGTCAGGAAAGGTCCCTKAGCCATGATGGGGAAGACCCTGACGGGGTTTGCGGCTGGGCTCGATCATCTTGAAGGTCTCTTCCAACCATAATGATTCTGGGATAAAAGGCAGCTCATTTGTCCAGCTCCCAGCTCTGCGCTGTCATCATCTGCTTTTGCCTGGTCTCCCTCACACACCACAGCCTGTTTCTCTTGTCTTCCCTGACGTAATGAATCCTGATGAAAAATCATCCTCCAGTCTGAAAAGCCCCCSTGGGCTTCCTCTCCCCCTTGCTGCCCAAGGCAGCACCTTTAAGGAGTCCCCCATTTCATTCTGGTCAATGCAAGAGAAGAGCCTGGCTCTGCTCTGGTGCTGGTCACCACAGGCCAGYTGAGCCTTAAGGCTGCCAAAGGAGCACTGGATGGTCCCAAACTGGGTTACTCCCACACCAATGTTTAATCTTACCCATTGACGCTCTACATCCATGCTTGGCACCACTGAAATCGCCCTGGTTTAAGCTGGGCATAGTTAAGTTTGCAGAGATGACTAGTTGGATCAACACTGTATAAGAAGAACAGTATATATATGCTTTTATATACATTAAGTTAACCCAAGGTCTGGGCTAACGCTTACTGAAGTAACACTGATGTCAATGGAAGCCAACAGTTTCCACAGAAACTTTTAGCTGTGATCAGCTAAAAGAAAAAAGAAAAAAAAAAAAAGATACCACTGCAAAATAAGAAGGCAAATCCAGTATTAGATATGTACATATTTTAATTCGGTTTAAAAATGGTTTACATTTAAGGAGAGATTTCAATGGTTGCCTTATTTTTTTTTTCTGTTACATTAGGTTATACCTGAATACTGTGCATAGTGATTTTAACATTTCTGTTTTTTTTTTTTTTTTTTTTTTTTTTTGTCTCGTTGTGAAAATAACAGTTGCAGGCAGCAATGTAACATCTCAAAGACAATCACAAAACGTGCAGGATGTCTGGCCAGAAGCATTTCTCAGTGGACTTGCAGTAGCACGGCGCTCTATAACTTGTGTGTCAACACTTCTTTTTTTTTTCCTTTTTTTTTTTTTTTTTAAACGTTTAAGTCAGATGTGTCTCAAGAAGCAAAAACAGACTTTCTTCACTGAGCCTCAAATACCTGGTCAGCTCCTCAGCTGGCTGCAAACTGCTTCCCTGGAGTTACTCCAGTTTACGCCAGCTTGAGGCCTGTAGTTTTGGGGTTTTTTTGGTTGTTTTTTTGGTTTTTTTTTTTTTTTTTGCCAAAATGTACCTGGATCCCCCTCATATTTTCATTTACAGGCAAATTTCAGGAACGTGGTTGCCCCCCACCCCAAAATTCAGGGTACATTGCGGGCACTTCTGCACTGGCTCCTGCTGCCCAGCCCGGCTACCTGCACAAGCGCGAGCGGAGCRGCCCGAGCAAGCGCACGGAGCCAAATCCCAGGGAATGGGAGCCCCGGGAGGGACAAGGACCTTGGCGAGCCCCCTGGAAAGCCGATTGTGCCCCCGATGTGGTGACACGTGAAGTGTTTCTGCTCCCGTGTGACCGGCGCAGCGGCTCGAGGGAGGTGTTCAGACCACCCGCTTCCCTAGGCCAAGGCCAGACTCCAGGAATTAGGTGCTCCGAGTAGTCAATAGGGAGGCAGGGGTGGGAAGTGGGGTGTCTCTCCTCTGCCCACCCTGGAGCCCAGCTATAACTGCAAATGCCCGTGAAATACCTAGGACCAGGTGCCGTGAATACCCGCTCTGGCTCCCACGGCGCTTCCTCACCCACAGGGAAAAAAAAAAAAGGTGCTTTTGCTCTCTGTACCTGTTCAGGGCTCGGGCGGCCCGGTCCCGCCGCCTATCCCATGTGTTTGTACTGAGATCTGTCCCGCGGGAGCTGCGCTTGGCTGGCCGTCAGCTTGTGGTGGAGGTGGTACACGCAGAGCGTTATCACGATCACCAGCCCCAGGATCAGGCCCAGGATCAGCGGCAGGGTTTCCTCCAGCTGCTCCCGCTGGTCCACCGGGCATTTATGTTCTGCRCGGAGAGAAAGACGAGGGAACCGCGGCAGGAGTGAACGACAGCATGTTTCAAACGTACACAACAGCCCTCCCAAAGCAAGGCACGGGAGGATGAACCCCGGTCCTGCTTTGGGATCCCTGCAAGGGCAAATCCACCTCCACGGCGAACGGGCAACGCAGCCACAGTGGGAGCCCCCGGGACACAACCAGGAGCTTGGAAAGCACCTGCAGTCCCCATCCCGAGACCACGTTGGCAGGGGTAGGGGGAACCTGCCACCAAGCCAGCCTGGGAACAGGCCCACGGGCTCCCCCTCAAACTCCCCCCTCCACTAAAACACATGCTCCCCTCCCCATCTGTTGGCACCAACGTGCAGCTCCCAGCTCTGCACCAAGCCCTGCGCCAAGCCGCGGAYGGAACAGCGGGCGCTAATCCTGCCCTGGTCCGCTCCACAGATCCTCCGCCATGGGCTATCCCAGGAAAAGCCCGGCTGAGCGTCCAACAGAGGCAGGAGACACCACAAAGCGCCAGGCATCCATGCGCTGGACGCAACGCTCATGCCCTGGGGCTGACCAGGGCTCCGGACACAAGGAAAACGTCCTCCTCGCCACGCGGCAGGGAGGCTGCTGCAAAGTGCTTCAATGCAGCGAAACGGAGGAAGGGGACGGGGGCTGCGGTCTAGACGCCGTCCTTCTCGGCCCTCGCTCCTCGCAGTGGCACCAGAGGGGTGATTAATCACCAGCACTGCGCGACAGGCTGCCCGCGGCTGCTGCAATGCAGGCGTTCCGCTTGAGCGTGTTACGGGGGAACAAAAACCCCTCCTGGGAGCTATTCCGCTCCCAAAATTCACTTTCCAGAGCCTTATGGCCTTCCCTGACGTTCCGGCTGTGAAGCTGTGGGCAGCCTCGCACAGCAGAGCACAGCGGGGGCCGGGACAGCTCCGGCTGCGGGAAGCCCCGATGGGGACGGGGCACCCGAGGTTATCCAGGCACCGGGACCTCCACGTGAAAACACGGGTGCCAGGTCCTGGGGACACTCACTTTGCTCTTTAGGCTAAATCCCACGCAAAACTGAAACAAGCCTGACTTAAATCTAAGTGACTATATCCCCTCTACATGCAAACCCCAGTTTAAGCCAGCGTGTTTGCACCTTTCCATAAAAAAGAGCCCAGACTCCAACACATAGACGTGCGTTATTTGAGGTTTCTTTCTCCTATTTTTGCCCCAAACGCCTGCGTTGCTGAGCACTAACCGCACRTTTCCAGCAGATACGGCCAGACCTGCCTCATCCCCACAAAGCTCCTGCCATGTGCAGGTTCAGAGGCGCCGCTCGGGAACGTGCCCGTTCTTGCAAGCAGCCGGGAAGGAATTCCCTTATTCCAACACTTCTTAGAGAGGATTAAAGCAACAACAGCATTAAAGCCAGTGGGAAAGACTCCACAGGGAAGCCCTCCCGGTGGGCACCGAGGTTCCAGCCCATCTCAGGACATGCTGGTAATCAGGCCGGGCAAGAAAACAGGGATACGTGCCAGGCACCAACACACGCTGACCCACAGAGAGAGAAAAATGATGATATTTAACTGGTCAGACAGTGTTTTCCACCCCAAGCACTTCACAGGTCTGCAGCACTGCGGCGCAGCGAGTCCAACCGCTACCATCCCGTTTCTCAGCAAAGGAATGACCAACGTAACAAAAATAAAGAGGGGAAAAATAAGATCGGGTGCTGTTTAAAGCCTGGCCACGCAGCTGGCAGCGAGGAGCTATTTGGTGTGGAGGACCCTGGAGCAGCTCAGCGGGAGGAGAGACCCCCCGAGTGGGGGGTGACCAAGGCTCAGCCTTACGGCCCCACGTCTCATTTTGACTGGGGTCCAGAGAGCTGCCAGGCTCTGCAGGGACCTTCTCCTCATTCAGCTGGTGTCTTGCTCCAGCTTCTTCCTCTATTTCCCCTGTTTCTTAAATTGAAAAATGTGCCCAAGCATTTTTGCAAAAAGATGATTTTTTTTGCAAGCTTTGAATGAAAGAAAAAGAGAAGTCCTGCTGCTGTCACGCTGAAACAGGTTAGAAAAAAATATTTCTATTGGCAATCGGAAGCAATGTYTTGACAAAAATACATCGCAGCGCACTCAAAAGAACACAATCGTGCCTGCAATTTTTCAGTTATTCCAGGTGGGAGGAGGCCAGGTCCAACACTGACACCTTTCCCTGCTGCATCTCTGTGGCCAGAGCCCCCTCTCCTCCTCTCTCTGTCCCCCGACCTCGGGAGGGTCTCTTTGGCTTCCCTAAAACACTCTAAAATGTTACGTAGCCTGCTCATAATTAATAGGGATTTTGCCTAATGGGGAATTAATGACCCACAAAGGGGAGGGCAAATCGCTGCTGTCGGCGTTGGCAGGACAGTGTGAGCCCCGGGGCACCGTGCGGGGCCGGCAGCAGAGCCCAAAATGGAGCAAAAAGATGTGTCCTTGGGTAAGAGCGCGGCCACAACCTCAAAAGGAGGGAAAGGGATGAGGAACATAGCGGGAAACTAGGAAATCCGGCCATGTTTTCCCCATAACCTACACAAAACGCACGGTGCTGCTGCGAGAGGGCAAGGACTTGCCTGCACCCACTGATCCAACCTCTGCTGCTGCACCAGGGCTCCAGCGCGAGCCCTCCAGCCGCAGCCGGGGGCACAGCACGGATATCCGCACCAGCGTAACCCATATAGCAGCGTAACCCATATAGCAGCGTAACCCATATAGCAGCGTATATTTACTACCTCACTTGGAGCAATGTGAGTCATGAGAGCAAGCGCGCCGCTTTATACTAACTGCTGGTTTCTTATTGCTTTCTAAAGTAGGTCCCACTTGCAAAATAAAAAAATAATAAAAAAGCAATTCAATGTTTTTAATGCTGGCTGTGAGAACAACACTACCACTTTCTGGGCTATTTTTGAAAGATTTGGCAATTTTTACATTTTATTCTCATCTTTTTTTTGGCAATAATAATGAAGTTAATAATTAATCTCTCCCAAAACTATAGTATCAGAAGGGGATTGGTCTTGATGTGGACACGTTCACAACATTCACTCCAAGGCAGTGCACAGGTGAACACCACGTATCCCCCATCCCACTCCAGCATGCCAGCAATTCCCCAGGAAAACAGAGCAAAATTTGGCACGGGACGAGTTCAGCCTGAAGCAGGGAGCRAGTCGGTCCCAACCACACACAAATCTCACCCCTGAAATCCCTGCAGCATCCAAGCTGTGAGACCCCGCCGTGGCTGCGCCGCTTCGATGAGGGCAGCGAGGATTAACTCACGTTTTCCGCCACCCGAAACATTCAGGAAAGCCGAGAGGAGCCCCAGACCCCGCGCCTCACCTTCACTGAAGACAAAATCGGCGCTGATGTCGAAGGGCTGCACACGGACCTCGGAGAGCAGGAGCTCCACGGACTTCTGGTGGTCGCTGGAGAGCAGCGTGATGCTCTGCTGAGCCTGGCACTCGTAGGACTTGCCGGCCGGCGTGACGAAGGCGGAGAGCCGGTGCGAGCTGGCCGTGTGCTTCCCCGCTGCCCCAGAGCAGAGACAGGAGAAACCCTGAGAAACCTTGGTGGCCAACGAGGTGCTGGGTTCTCAAAGCAAGACACCTCATTTCCGAGGAGCAGTGAGGCAGAGGCAAAGCAAAAGCCGGGAGCACCCAAGAGGTGCATGCGGGCAAAGCTGCCTGGGGAACAGGCATGCAGCATGGAGACTGAGGAGAAGATTCAGCTCAAAAAGAACAGAACAGGATGCCCATCCCACAGGGAAGAACAGCGAATCTGTTTCAAGCCGTCCAAGTTCAATGCGAGCGGCAGGAGGCTGCTGTGGGATGCGAAGAGGCCAAGCTGGAGAYGCAGGGCAGGGAGGCAGGAGATGGCAGCGGGGATGGTGGGTGGGCAAAAAGGGGCAGCCCCCCCCACCCCCCGCCCCAAGCTCACAGAGCAAGAAAGGAAAAAAGAGGAGATTAAAAAAATAAATAAATAAATAAATAAAAACAGGGTAGGGATACATGTGGATTTATCCCAGCAAGGCCGGCATTCCTGCCTGGCACTTGCTCTCTGCAGCCTCCGCCGCTCCCGGACTCTTGGAGCCGCTGGTGCGGGATTCACACAGGGTGCAGGGCAGACTGACCTGCACACAACCCCTTCCCCCCGATACTGCAGCACATACACCCCCCACACACACGCACACACACACAGAGCTGCCCCCGCTGCCCCAGGGCCCCGGCCCGCTCACGGCTGACGGCGTCCTTGAAGTAGGTGCGCTCGCCGGTGTCGTAGGCGAACTGGGTCCGCGCCAGCCTCCACTGGGCCTCGGGCCCCCGCGACGTGTTGTGTCCCTCCTGCGCGACACGGCGGGCAGCGTGAGCCCAGAGCTGCGACCCGCGACCCGCCGGTGTCGCCGTCCTGCCCCGTCCCACCTTGAGGAAGAGCAGGCGCAGCGTGTAGGCGCGCTCCAGCCACGACACCTCCAGCTCCGACTCGTTGGCGCCGCACTTGCCGCGCATCTCGGCGCCGCGGGGCAGCGGGATCTCGGCCTGCTCCGTGATGAGCTGCGAGACGGGGCGGCTTGGCGGGGCGCTTCGCTCCGGACAGGGCAGCACTCGGCACCGAATAAACCACCCCCTGCCCCTGCACAACTCCCTGCGGGATCCCCCCCTTCCCGAGCCGCATCCTGACCCAGACCCAGCCCAAGACCCGGCCCCCCCGCCACTCACATCCACATAATTACTGGCCCACACGTCGTAGGGGACGATGAACCTGGCGGCGAACTCGGCCATGAGACACGTCGTGCGGTTCTCGCGCACCACGAAAATGTCCTTCTCGGGGCTGGGCGAGAGGCCGGACAGGTTCTCCACCTCCTGCTCGGCGGCCAGGCGGGCGGCGGCGTCTGCGGGCAGCGCGGCGCTCAGCGCCCGGCCTCGCCTCCGCTTCCCGGGCCGGGCTCCCGGAGCGACACCCGGTCCCGCCGGGGCAGCCCGCGCGCGACRAGCTCGGAAGTCGCGAGGAGGCCGCCCGCTCGCGACAAGGCCCCGCTATCGCGACAGRGCGGTACTCACGCAAGAGGAGGAGCAGCCCCGGGATGCGCGGGGCAGCGCGGCGCCCCCCGGCCGTCCTCATCCTCCCTGCCCGGCCACCGGCTCCGCTCCCGCCCGGCGGCTCCGCTCCGCAGCGGGAGAAGGAAAGAAGGGGAAAAGAAAGAAAGACAGAAAAAAAAGAGCTCGAACCCGCCGCCTTCCCTTCCCCGGGAGCCGCGCGGGCTGCAGAGGCTCCGCTCCGCTCCGCTCCGCTGCGGCGCGGCGGGAGGAGGGACGGGAGAGCGCGTGGGAGTGCGGGGAGGAGGAGGAGGGACGTCGTGCCGGGGGAGCTGAGGAAGGCGCCCACGTCGAGGCGCGGGGAGTACGCGGAGGCAGAGGGGGGAGGAGGGACCCCCCCCGCCACCGGCGTCGTCGTTTCCACCCCCGCGGCTCCCTCGCTGCTCCGGGCGCTGAGGAAAGGTCCCCGCGGGAACCCGCGGGACGCTCGGGATGGCGCGGGAAGCTGCCGGGGCCCCGCAGCGAAGTGCTCAGATTGCCCCTCGCTGCACTGCACAC